TATTGCCGGGTTTTTTAAAAACACTTTATAAATTTGGGAACTGTTATTATATGACCGCCTTCAAGGAAACACAATATAATAATTTTCCAAAATGTCTTCAATTTGAGGACCACCTGCTAAATATTAGTCAAAATAAAGATTAAAATGAAAAATGCTGAGTGTGTACATACCAAAGGAAAACGACCTTTTCTTTCTGTTTTTCAAATAAACTTTCACTGGCTACTGTAATACTACTTACAAATCTTCTGGATTCCTCCTTGTTGGCTTCTTCAGAGCTTAACCGACTCGCATTCTACTTATGTACCTCCTAATATATTGTTTGAAGGAGACGGAGCTAAAGGAGCGGATAAATAATTCCCGTATTGGTGACAGGTAATTTTTTCTATAGATTCTCGGATTTTTCATTAGTAGAAAAATTAACTAAATGCAAGAATTTTAGCTTAATATCTTTAATGTGGAAATTATTAGAGAGAACAGCAGATGTAAGGTGATTTGATTCTGGATCCAGTGAATCTGATTGAGATAATTTTACGGCTCGGAAAGAGTTGAATGGATGGTGATGTGACAATGCATTATGGTATTGGTCTGTGTGCGTAGGTTGCCTGTAAACAGAATGACCTAATGATAGGTCTGAGAAAGTATCATCAACGTAGCGTATCCATAATTTTGTTTCAGATGGAAGATGTAGAGGGTTTGTTCTCAAGGGCCTCCATAAATATATTCGCGATGACTTGAGATTATGGAGAACTCGAAGTTTGTCCGTTATAAGAAAAATAAGGCACTTAGTAAAGAGGAATTCTACGTCGAAACTAACCAAATATCCTGTAAATGTATTTCTTTTTAATATTTTATGTTTAAAAATGTACTATTGGTTTCAATAAGTGTTGTTTATGGAGTGGATTATTCAAATTTTATAGTCAAATTACGATACGTACCTAAATTTGTACAATGTAGGTGCAGTAACTTGACAATAAGTGTATGTGTGTTGTGTGTGTGTGAATGTGTGTGTGTGTATGTGTGGATGTTTTTTTGTAATATTAGCAAAGACAAAATTTATTTAATAAAATTAGAAAATATTTCAAATACTTCCATTACAAATTAAAATAAATATTTTTTTTCCATACATTATTTTGAGAGAGTGATCTCCTTTTCAACAAGCTACTAAGGAAACAATCAAAGTGCGACAACCGTAGCACAAAATTGAATTACTTTCTAAATTATCGCACAGGGGAAAATCTTTTTTTGTAATATAATTTCACAATTGAACACATCTTCACATATTCAAAATTTTATAAAACTGTGTGCTGTTGAATGTGAAATAATTTTAAGAGCACCCAAATTAGCTGCTTTTGACTAGAACATTTTATTGGAAATATTTTTTTTTAAAATGGCTCGAAACATTAATAAATAAGGCATAATTTAATCTTTTTTTTTCACACCGGACGGCCCTTTGACAAGTATGTGCAAAATTATAACAATTTATGAATGATTTTCGCCTTTGCTTATTGTCCGATCCGTATTAATAAATAAAAAATAAAAAATTAATAGTTGGACGTAAAACAATTAACATGTCACATGATAATTATTTATTTCGTTGTATTCTAAATATCGTATGCACACTCTGTATATGTAGATGGCAACGTCAAGTGCAAACCCTCGTCTTCTTACGTTCGTAAAAAAACCAGTCCTCTATTTCGTTTCACACTTTATTTATGCATTCGGCGGACAATATTTCTTTAAAGGATTTTAATTACTTCTTGTAACTTAATCAGATAAAATGCAGCGGTGTCGGGAAAATGCCGTTTCTCCAGTTTTATTGCGTTTACGGTATAATTTAGAAGTGGCTGAAGTATTTTCGGCTAGGGGATAAAATACGGCAGTTGGAAATCATTTTGGAATAATTCCTTAGTTGGCGATAAGTTCTACGACTACTTTTTTAACGTTTCATTTCAACTACCGCGGTAAAAGTTACATCCACTTTTTTAGTTGAAATGAAGGCTAAAAGTCTTGCAAATCTTGATTATTTAGCTGAAGCTGAAAGGGACAGCAATTTGTTAGATACTAGAGATTTCTAAAAAATAACAAAATTAAGATTTCGTAATATTATTTAATTGTAAAATTAGGATTAATTGAAATTTTAATTTATGTGTACGTGTGTATGTGTAAAATTTTTTTGATATGATATACTAAAGTGTAACATCTTCGCACAAAGTTGCATTTTCTATAGCTTAAATAACGCAAAAGCCGAGGAAATTATGACCTACGTTAGCCGACTAATACACAACTTATAAAAACAAGATATTAAGACATGAAAACTTCCATAGACTAATACTAAGTTGGCCTCGGCAGAAGTTAACCAAAACTGGCTCGCATTCTACTCTGTACTTGCTAATATACTGTGTAGGGGGCGCAGTTACAAGGAGGGGCATGAAGATTGATTTATTAGAGATTTTTTTCTTGGATTTTTCTTTGGTAGCTTTTTCATGTTTCTTAGCCTAGGTGTAATATTTCGTCCTGTTCTTTGGACAAATGGTAGATCTTATAGTTAATTTTAACGTTACATTTCTTAAGAACTTTTGTTATGTGGTCAGTGAGGTTTTCAATGTAAAGAATAACCACAGTGGCAAGTGCGAGATTGAGTTCTTCTTTTTAGAAGGTTGGGGTGAGCAGCTATAAGGTGTTTTAATTATGGATTCAGTGCTCAGGGTGCGATAGTCTACCTTTCAACATTATGAGATGAGTCATGCACGACAATATTCATGTCTCCGCTCCCTTAAACACCATGTAAGCGGATACAGAATAGAATGTGAGCCAGTTTCAGTTAAGCTCTGAACAAGTCGACTGGGTGATTTGTGAAACCACAGTAAGTTTTATTTATCAACATCAGACGCAGGAGAAATCCAGAAAATTTGTAAAGAATATGTGAAGACATAGAATGAGCGTAAAAAAACTAGACAAGTAAAGAGAATTTAAAAACTTCCCCATCTTATTTTTGTGCTATAAAGAAAAACAATTAGAAACATAAATATCTAATTATAAATTATTTTGTTTTTTTCTTCTACCAATCTATCAATTGATAAGAACCAACTTTCAACAGCGGTTTCCATAACTGTTTGCTAAACTTATGATATCAAGCTGCATAAACCAGAGTAGAAATTATTGTTTATTCCTGATTTCCTCACATGCAATATTTATTTTCATGAAAAATTAATTCTATAATGATATTGAACATTTTTTAAATCATCTAAATTTTATCGTAACTGTGATATTTTCTAAATCACAATTTTGTAAATCGGTGGGTAGGAGATGACTACCGAAAAGTCGCGCTTTTAATGTTGTAGACCTTTGCCGAGAGTGAGAAATATGAAACAACTAGAACAGAAAATGGCCAGAATGTGCAGAGATAATGTGGATGGTGATTTAGAATAAAATCTTTAACACTAAAATATAGTTAAGTTACTTTAATTTCGTCGTGCGCAAACAAGGCCAAAAACCAGTTTACGTTAAACAGTCAAAAACAGAAGAAAAGAAAATTGTGAAATAGTCAGATATCTCCACTCAAAAAACACATAAACAAAAGAAAAAATGCATACAACATTTTCTGATTGCGAACTTGCTCTAATGTTATCCATATTTTTTTTGTATTGGGGGACACTTCAAGGGCATTGTAACTAAAAGACCTCTTATATAGAGCTGTTTGATGACAGGGGACGCAATATAAACCACCAAGTCGGGTTTAATGCCTACAGCCGCTACTAGATTTAATTAGTTCAGTAGTTAAATAGGAAGGAGCTTCATTTTTGTGGTTCTTTAAAGAAAACAGTTCATAATCATATTATACATTAGAGTCAAATATAGCCAGCCAGAATTCTGCAGGCGATCTGATGCGTGACCAAACTTGCTCAGTCCAAAGCAATAATGTGAGTTTTGAAGCCTCTGAAGGCTCTCTCTATCCCATAGCTGTCCAATAGACTGTTGCACAATAACCAACTTGGGACAGTATAAGCTTGACTTTTTTATCTTCACTTAGAATTTGTTTATGCAAATATAGTGATTTTAATTATAACATTATTTTTGCAGTATTTTATCATCTCTGTTTTAGACTATTAGAACCAAACATTTTTAAAAATGGGCATCGGAAACAGTTTGAATAACATCCACATCACTATGATTTTTATCTAACTCAAAAGAAAAATGTGGCTACCACAATCATTCAAAAATTTGGCACAATCGGACCTATAAAGAGAGAAGAGTGCTTCACTGTGGATTAGACTGGATGTGTGTATGTTATTGTATTATTATATTATATTGCAATCAATTATAGTGTAGGTATTAACAATATTTAAGATATAATTGTTTATTGTGAAAATGTAACGTACGCTGCACTGTCCCGGGTTTATTATTATTATTATTATATATTCTGTATAAGCATATTTCTAAAAAAAATTAAAATTAATATAAAATTCAAAGTTTCCATTCCATGTCAACAGTTGCTCTTGTCAAAATTTGTTATTTCCTAGTTTATTTATGTCTTTTATTTTCAAGATAATTTTCTTTTAATTACATCTAATTGAAGCATTAATTGTTCACCTTTTTGTAGGATTTTATTGTTCCGGTCGCACATTGCTCTAAAATATTTTGTATTCTTGATGAATGGTAATTTTCGGTTCACATATGGTTAAGGGTTTGTTACTCAAAATTAATGGAATTTCTGTTCCTTGGCTCCGAATTCGTTTTGGTGAGGTTGCTTTAAGTGTACGCTAAACAATGAAGCACCATACAAGAACTGAAAATTGCTATTCCGTCAAGAACTCACAAGAGTACCAGAGGAAATAATTTTAATAAAGAGAAGGGAAATTATCTCGAAAATAAAAAAAAATGTTATGCTTGTGTGAAAACCCTGCGTTTCCTCTGCGCCACCTTGTATTTTGTTCGATGGAAGAAACACATTTTACCCTCCGTCGACTGAATAGATGCATTACCAACGAATCATTACTTACGTTTGCAGGCCTTTCTGTGCGTAATCTGCTTGGTGGGGTCCCTGTAGTAACCCTCGCGACAATAGTGACAGTGTCGGCCAGCCGTGAAATGGCGACACTTTAAGCACACGCCGCCCGACGTACGTCCGGAGAGTTTGTACAGTTCCATGTTGAAGCGACAACGTCTGGCGTGTTGATTGCACTCGCAAGCTGCAATTAAGGGTTACAGAACGTTACATTCAAATTTAAAGACCAATCAAACGCATATGTATAGCCAATGACATTGTAAATCAGCCATTAATATTTACCGATAGAGTACACACACATGAAATAGAGATAGCTAAGAAATCATTGGTCAGAAATTATCAGTAGAAAAAATTTTTGGAGTTGTCAGTCAATGGTTAGATACCATTTATCTTTGAGAAACAATTATTTTATTGCCTTATACAATAATGGCGTTGATATCGACTAGTGATGCTTTCTAGCCGTCGTGTTAGAAACTTTTTTAGACAATGGAAGTTCGAAACACCAGTGTTGAAAATAATCAATCCTTGTCTATCCTTGCAGAAATACCTTATACTTCTTTTTATAAGTGAAACTCGTTTTTTGCAAATCATTCTAGTCATACAGACTGTTCAATTGATTTAATTTAAAATCTACTTGAAAATTTCATTCTCTTTGTTGATAAGGGTGTAGATAAAAAATAAAATAACCGTTTATAGAATTGACTATACATCCATCCAAAAAAATCAATATTAAACAATATCAGAATACTAAATTCTAATTTATAAGAATTCCAGTGGAGTTCCAAGGTATTTTTTGTTTTGAAATATTTTTATTAGCAGTGCGTATCAGTAAAATCTTTGACCAAATGGTGAGGCTGTGCTTTAGGTCTTTAGAAAACCGTAAAATTCTATTTACAAAACTTCTGGATTCCTCCTGTTGTTATCGAATTGAACTTGCTGTTCATGCTATTCTTCTTAACTGAAACCGGCTCGCATTGTATTATGTACCTGCTTATGTATTGTTTGAGGGGGAAGAAGCTAAAAGAGGGACATGAACATTGTCTCTCTGGATGACTGATTCCTATATTGGTGACAGGTAAAGACCTGAGTCGTTGTTAAGATTGTTGATAGAAGAATTGATTATATACAAGAATTTTAGTTTCATCGGATAAAATGCTATGTTTCGCGATTATGTGCGGCAACTGATGATGAGTTCATTTGTCTTAGTCTTAAGGCTCCTTCATGTTCTTTGAGACCAGTTCATAGTTTTCGTCTGGTTTCTCCGATGTGTTTGCCGTATATGCATGAAATGCTGTAAACTCCTGGCATCTTAAACGAAATTTTGTTTCTGACGGATCGAAGATGTTGAGAGTTTTTTGGGCAAGTGGTTATATTTCTTTAAAACTTTTGATATGTGTTCAGTCATGTTTTGAATATAAGGAATGACAGCAGTGGCAAGTGTGGGGTTGCTTGCGGACTCATTGTTTATAGAAGTTTGTGCTGAAGTGTATTTTGTGAATAAATGAATGTGGAACTTAACTCTGTAAACAAGAGAGTTAATAACCGATGATGCGACATTGCATTAAGGTATCAGTCTGTGTGCGTAGGGTTTTCTGTAAACAGAATGACCCAACCTTAGGTCTGATTATCTATTGATAAGAATATCTAACAATGGGAGATTATTATTAGTTTCTAATTCAAAGGTAAAGCGTATATTAGTTAAAAGTGTCGATTGCTTTCTTCTCAAAGGCTTCCATAAATATATTCGTAAAATGCTTAGCGGTCAATCACTGGTATTGATTGAAAAATTCTAATTTTGACAAAGCACTAAACATAAGATAATTAAAAATGGTGTTTTCTTGGTGGAAGTAAATGTAGTAAATATAGTTTGTATCTAAGTTTATTTATATGCTTTTTTATATTTGTACTAATCCCTTGTAGTTACTTAAAGAGACGTCGATTTTGTGCTTTCCTGCATTTCGTTCAATGCATAACATGAAAACTCCATTTCAAATTAATTCAAGTCCAATTTCGAAGAATTGCGAGGAATTATGAGTATAAAAGGAATTCCTGTGTACACATTTGGTCCTACGGTTTACTCCTCGGGTTCTAACTTCAGGAAGCCATTACTAGACATTAAAAAGGTCCTAAAGCTTTTAATGGACGGTCACCCTGAGAAACCCTGTATAAAGGCAAGCGATGGTGTTATAGGTAATAAGGGTAATAAGTAAATAAGGCAAAAAATACGTTGGTTCTTAGATAATTTACACTTTCGTTCTTTGCAAATTAATCATTCCTCCGTTTATAGCCTGCCATTCAACAGCAACAATCAACAATATTATGATGGTGTGATGGACAATTTTGCGGTCCACTCTGTATTTTAAGGAGGTTGATAAGGTAGAGATTGGTAGATATTTGGTAGAGATAAAGACGCCCGCAGTCGGCTCTGGGGAATTGCCATTCTGATGTGCTGTCCATACTTGTTAAGGTTTATTTGTCATATAATAAATTACTGTATTAAACACTCGAAGTATGCTGTGGAATGGAAAACTGCTTACGCCAAACCTATACTTAAGATTACCAATGTATAATTTTTTTGAGATTTAAGACCTATTAGTATCCTGCCAGTACTATCGAAAGTATTAGAACGAGAAGAATGAGGCAATTAATGGAACATCTTGAAAGGAATAACTTTCTTCTCGACACTCAGTGTGGTTTCCGAAAAGAACATATTTGCACAACAACCCTAATTAACGTTACTGATGACATCTTAAAAGCTCTTTGCAGCAGCATGTAATTATCGAGGGTCACACAACTTCTCGTTCCGGAGTTCCTTAGAGCTTCAAATTAGGGCCCATATTGTATACAATTTACGTAGCGTTTCTGGGCAGGCATTTGAGTTATTTCTTTGTTCTCCTGGTGTCTTATGAATAAAGAATTATTTTTTAAGTTTCTGTAGTTCTCTGCTTTCAATTAATAATAAGTGTCAGAACTTACTATTCGCCCCCAATAAGAATTTGACTATCATAAATAGTAGTCCGCTTAGTCTTTACATAAACAATACCAAATTAGACTTTTCTAAAGTATCAATGGGTGACTTTGGTTGCATGTTCAGCTACGATTTAAAAAGTATATCACTGAGTGTATTCTCTCTTCAGTCTGTATCCTCGTGTGAGGCTAATGCGACGTCGTTCACTAGAGTCTTCCATCTCTCACGGTCCTGGACTTCGGTGATGAGAGTATGCCTTGTTATTCCCGTAGGTTTTGTTAATTGGTCGATCCATCTTGTCGGTGAGCGGCCATGGTTTCTTTTTCCTTCGACTTTTCCCTGAATGACTATTTTCTCTAAGCACTCTGGACCTCTTCGCATTACATGTCCAAAATATTTTAGGACACGCAATCGTAGACAATCTTTGTTTGACTTTTAGTTGTTTCAATATGGAGTCATTACTTCGGTGTTGTGTCCATGAAATATTTAGTAATTTCCTCGAAAAATACATTTCCGTAGCATCAATTCTGTGCTGTTCACTCATTCTAACAGGCCAGGCTTCGCAACCATACATAAGTATCGGAAAGACTAAGCAGTTCATAATTCTGATTTTTGTTTGTGTTGTTATTTGTCTGTCTTTCCAGTTTTTCCCAAGTTTTTTGGTCGCTATTTTTACCATTTCGCATCTTCTTTTGATCTTTTGTTCTAATGTACCTGTATTTGTGATTAGTGATCCCAAATACAAGTATTGATCAACAACCTCGAACCTGTCCATCTGTTGCATATCCGATCTATTATTATTAGCTGGGTCAATTATCATTATTTTTGTTTTGGAAGTGTTGAGTTCCAGACCTAGATACACGCTCTCTTTTTCAATCCTATGAATGAGATCCAACAATTCATCTGCAGTGTTTGCCAGTAAGGAGGTGTCATCAGCAAATCAAAGATTGTTAATTTTTCTGCCATTAATTGCGACTCCTCCCATCCAACCATCGAGCGGTTTCCTAATAATGTATTCGCTGTATATGTTAGATAGTTGTGGTGATAATACACATCCCTGTCTCACTCCACATCTCCACACCAGTTGAGTTTTGGTATAATGTAATTATTAGGAAGATAAGATGTTGTGGCACTCCCACTTCAAGCTTTTCGAGCTTTTTCTATAATTTGTCGTAAGTTGAGCAGATGTTCTCTAGTGTCACTTCCTTTGACAAATCCCGCTTGTTCCTCTGGTATTTGGGGTTGTAAGTAGTTTTTAAGTCTCTCTTTGATTACATGTAGGGGAATTTTACTAGCATGCGAAATAAGGGTAATTCTATAATTTTCACATTTTGTTTTTTTACCTTTTTTGTGAATTGTTATTATTTCATTTTTGTCCAGTCTTTTGGAAATTGTCCAGTTTTCCATATTTGATTGCATAGGTGACGAAATAGATTTATTCCCGTTTCGCCCGTTGCTCTGAGTATCTCTGCTGTTAGTCTGTCGGGGCCTGGAGCTTTGTTATTTTTTAATTTGTGGATGGCTGCTTCTATTTCACATTTAAGAATATCTGGTTCTTCTTCTCATCCTTCCGTTTGTTGAGACTCGACGTATTGTTCATCCCCATAGAGGTTTTCGCAGTAGGCTCTCCATGTCTCTGTTATATCTTTGATGTTGGTTATAAGGTTTCCGTATGTGTCCTCTACTGACCAGGTTCTGGGTTCTGGGTTTGAAATCTCTGGTTGGTTTGATCTGGCGTGAGATTCCACTTCGCTGCATATGGTGGCGTAATAATTATTTTTATCTTCTTTATTCTATTCTTGTTTATCTATAGTGTTAAACTAACCAAAACTATTGTATAACTCCCGTAATCCGCTTATTCTCTCCAGTTTTAATTTCTACGATATCCTCGATCAACAGTAAATAATGTGCAGAAAATTCAGAAAATTCAGAATTATTGTATAATATTTATCTGTAGCACTAAAAGAGGTCGACAAATTAAAAGATATAAACTTGCACAATATGAAGTGTAGACGCACATTGCAGTTCGCATCATAAAATAATTTCATTTCAAAATCCACCACATCTTTATAGATAGAGTTTCATACTGATGTTCACGATGAACACAAAATATAAAAGAGTTATAATACTTTCATTACACAAAACAGTAATTTTTAAAAGATGCTTTTCGTATAATGGCTCTTCCTTGCAGAACTGTCTCCCAAAGGAGCTTATAA